GGCGGCGGGGGCGGGCCCTCTGGCAGCTCGCTCCTCGTGGACCCTTACCGCCAACTCAGCAGATCGTGCTCCTCGTCGCCGACCCCGCACCAGCCGTCCGCGTCCTTCCTCGCGTCCAAGTGAGCGGGGAGGGGCGGGGCGCGGTGGGGGGCGACCCCTGTGGGGCACCCCGGGGCACGCCCTCCCCCACCGCGCCCCGGAGGAGGTCAACGCACAGGAGAGGCCGCTCTTGCTCCGCGAGAGCGAAGCCCAACTGCTCTCGAATCGTGCGGGGATTGATCCGAGTGATGACATTGCGTTTACTTAATGTCGTGAAAGTGACTTGGCTATAGAGCCGTCAGCGGTGTCAGGCCTGGCCTGGTTCACTTGTATATTTTGTCTTTTCTTGCGGGTCCAAGAGAAGCAAATAGGGTCAGTGCTTTAAGTCCAGGGAAGTCCTATCCCAAGGGGGAATCGACTGCTAAAATTGTTGTGTAGCACGGATTACTGTACTAGGACTACCGTGTGTCCGGATTGCCTTCGAATGACGTCTATATTAGCGTGGGCCGCCCTCTGGATTACCCAAGTCGACTCCCCCTTGTCCTGCCCCTCCCTCTGGTCTCGACAGCTCGAGAGACTCGACTGGCAGAGGCGTGGACCCCCCCGACTGGAGCTACCCCTTCCCCCTCCCAAGAAGCACAAGAACGGCGCACACAGAGCATCGCAGCAATGATTACTTCACTATTATTGGATGTACTATTGTTGGAGTGAAGGTGAACATTTAAATGCATCAACAATACGTCAAGCAAGCACAAATCTGTTTTGTTGCGCTAAAATGCATGAAGGGAAGGAGGGGTGGCCCCGGTTTCACTGGTTCAACATTGACATTTTTTTCTGATTTTATCCATTACCTACCATTGCAACAGTAGAGTATCAGTGTTTTATACTACTACTTCTACTGTTGTTCAAGTTAGGAATTAAGGGGATGCCTCTGCTGTCATCTTACGTCTCATAACTTTTTTTTCCCTCGGCATTGTACTCTATAGTACGGAATTGTATTGGTATATAAAGTATCAGAAAGTTATATATTCTATTTACAGTATTCTATATCATATATTTTCTATACCTCTTAAATATTATTTATTTGTAGAGTGTGTGATATGTATCAAAGAGTAATACTTTTAAGTAAGAACTGTACAGAAACTGATTTTAAAAATATTATGTGTTTTTAGACGAAATGAAACAAAAGTGCCATACAAGCCAGTATTTAAGGCAGAAAATTATTTGCTCTATTCTTTAGGCAACCTTCTCTTCTGGCATAAAGGTAAATATTTTCTTCATGGTGGAGATAAGTGTATGAGTAAAAGCAGAAAGCTGTGTCACTCATCTCCTGATAACCAGAAAGAGAAGCTCAATGCACTATTTTATATAGGTCGCTAGCCAACTAATGAGAATGGTCCAGTGACTCCACACAATGGTCCACAATGTGTTTAAGGGACTCAAAATTTATGCTGTAGCTCTCTGGAAACCAGTTTACATGTCATTATAGACAACCTATTCTAAGCAAATAGTACATAGTATAATTAAAAATATACTGTCAATAATACTGCACTACCCTAGACCAAACAACAATTGTTTTGAGCACTTAGCACCAACAGTGTATGTAAGTTTCTCTTTTAAAAACCTGGAGGTACTTACAGATGAAATCTTTTTTGCTCTGGGAATAGTTTTCACAGAAAATAAAATTAACAAAGGGTCTAATAATATGCAACAAACTTGCTGGAAAAGCTTTACTTGTGCATTGAAAGACATTTGAAAAGTATTTCCAAAATTACATACACGTTTGAGATGTATTACTAGAAATGAAAATCAAATTTGGTGAGAAAAACACACTTTTTCTAAAAGCAAATATGTATACTGGTAGTAGATACATAACTAGATAAGAGTAGGAGGAACAATTTTTTATAGTTCCTCCTTCAAAACTAAGTTTGCTGATATGGTGCTGATAATATATTTGCAGGACTGTCAGAATGGTTCCATTGTGACGCCTGTCAACTTGGTACCTTCTTATCCAAAACTTGTTGTCATTAATGAAAATGTAAAAACTGCTTTCTTGTCTGTTTCAATTATTGAATATTTTTGTGTGTATGGCAAATGACTAAATGTGATTGAATCTTACTTGGTGCATTTTAGCAATCTATTGCTAAAAAAAAGTTAAAGCAAATATATTTATTTGTAAGGTTTCTTGAGGCAATGAGACACTTCTGTCAAATTTTGTGTGATGATCGCTGTTGTAAATTTGTTAAGGAACCAGCATAGCACAATTTTGTTAACAATGTGTACTTTTAAGCCTCTTTCCCTTGTAGCACATAGCATTCTTAGAACGTTTACGCAACCTTCAGAGAACCAAAAGAACTATGTCAGAACGTTGTCTAAATGTTTGGTGCCACAAGGGTTTCCCATTTCCAACTTTTCTCTTTGGTTTTGTATTTTATGTTCTATGGTGTGAAAGAAACAAATAACTGACTTTGAGACACTGAAATGTTGGGCCAAAGTTCTTAAGTGTTATGTTGTTAAGCAAGTGGTAGCTTTTTTTTTGTTCTCCCTTATTTTATCATTCATTTCTATGGTATAGAGTTCATCTCCAGCTCTGTGATAAACACCAAAGTTGTAAATATAAATACATATATATATATATATATATAAATATTCAGGCATAAACATTCATTTTAAAAAGAGACGCCTCATAACATCCTGTGCAAGTGCTTGATTATGTAAAAATAATTAGTCAAATTGCATTTTGACAACAGACAACTCTGGCACTTTTGAGGCGATACTTCATTTACTTACATACAGTGTTTCCAAATAAGTTGTGTAAATATTGATGTCTTCAAAACAGTGATCCAAAGGTATTCAAGACCTGTAAATAATTTGTGTATATGATCTAACATTGATGATATTCCATATAGATGTGTTTGCCACTATTTCATAGAGTATGTCTAAGAATTTCTTCTGTGCCCAACATCTACTTTGCTTTTCCTCTCCTGTTTGTATATTTTCTTAAAATTAACTTCAGGTTGAATGTTAATGTGAGAAGACCCTTTAACAAACCTTAAGTCACATATTCTTTTTTTTAT